TTACATTACTTTTCTGTCATAGTTTGAGACCATTACTTTTTCATTAGTTCAAAGACAAGCACGGCAGGATGGCCATGAAAGCAAAGTTAAAAACAATGGAAAAATAGTAATGCTTTTAAACGTCAACTATCATTTTAATTACAATCTTAAACACTCTTGTTGAAGGGAACCCAAGTTTTCCCTGTGTAAGCATCTTCCAGGAATGGAATATGTAGATTTTCACCATGATCTCAATGTTGTTCATAGATATCTATCATGTTATATAAATATATAGATGTTTCTGGATGTGAAGGGCTGGGTATTAGGTTCATGTGTGGCTGGCTCTAACCTCTCCTTTGAACTCCAAGAGTAGGATTTAAGTTTTATTTAATCTAACTTTACTAATTCAATTTAATTGTGTAAGAAATAAAGTATCTGAAGAAGATGAATTATTGTACTTCACACTGCTACTTTCAAGTACAGTATAGTAGAATAATACTGACAACTACAGACAAGGAGTTAAAATTTATCTCAGAAAAATTCTTCCAAGAACTTTTAAACAATTAGACTTATTTGTCATTAACCTACTGACAGTTGAAAGAATTTCTAGTAATCCATGATACATTTGGTGGCCAAGGCTTTCACATATGCTAAAATATTTCCTTCGTTAACATTATTAACTATTTTCCCTTTCCCTTTATATGATGCAGAAGTAACCTTTTACATGTCTAATATATAACGAATTAGGAGTTAGTGGCAAGGAATGAAGTCTTATTAAGTTTTTTGTTATTGTTTTTGAATGCTGCCATTTAATTTGCTTCTATTCCTTAAGACTAACAGGAATTTTAAAACATCGGTCGATCTGATGTTTTGAATAGTAGTGGTGCCAGAGAAAGTTCTTGAAGAACAAACAGGACTGGCAAATATCATTTTAAATTCTTTGTGACAGAAATAACACACCCTTATATAGTTTATCTCCTTGTGAGCTGATATACCCTTATTTCTTTTACTAAGGTTATATTTTTATCATTAAAGTACAATCCCTTCTGCCATTAGCATGTCAAATCTACAGTTAGAGCAGTCAGCTGACCTGAGTCAATGGAGTGTAGCAAAACATCAGGCCAGTGGAAATAAGCACGTTCCAAATCCGTCCTAAGAGAACAAGTGAAAATACTGCTCCCTGTCCTCTCCTGCACGTGCCTGTTGAGCTGACTTGGTTAACGGGATGCACTAAAAAATAAAAATTTGCCTCCTGGAAGCTCATGAAAGTGTACTAGAAAAAGGTCTCTAACATTAGATCCGCACGGACTGCAGCCATTGGCTTTCGGAACCGGTAGAACAGAGAACCCTTCACAGAGCAGTGGATAAATATAAAGAAATAGCCATTTCGTATATTTCAGCGTCGTACTGGAAAATGAAAAAGGCAACAGGTTAGGAGTCTTTGTCGCTGTCCACCCCTCCGTACATATCCGCAAGCTTTTTGAATCGAGGGCCCCAGTCGCTAAGGTAGTCATAGTCTTGATCTCCATCCGTGGTCACCGACTCCAGCGAGCTCAGGGACTCCGCCACCGAGCCGGTGCCCTCGTAGGCGTAGGTGGCCAAGGAGTCGTAGGGCGGCGCGGTGGGGTCCGTGTCATTTTCCTTTAACCTTTGGTTAATGAAATCTCTGACATCGGTGTTGTCGCGAGCTGTTGGAGTCCGTCGGGGTAGAAAAAGAGCTTCGGGCACAATGTCCCTTCGCAATTTGCTGTCCTCTATGGCTTCGGGATTCCTCAGGGTGCCGATATCAAAGGCCTGGGTGTCCTCCTCGCCACCACCTTCGTCGTTGTAACTGACAATGTTATCTCTGATGTCCTCTTTGGAAATGATCAAAGGCTCTTTTTTGCGCTGCCGCCTCAGAGCTGCAAACAGCACCACTGTCACTGGGAGCACAAAACAAAACAGAGAAGGGAAGGTAAAGTTAATTTGCTGCCCAATTAATGTCAGGAAGAAACAGTGTGCTCGAATGTGAAGTTTTGAAAGTTCTCTAGAAAATGCAGACTCAACTTTTATTTCTTTAAGGATGCACTTGCCTCCATCCGTGATCAAACCCGGGCCCCCAAAATGTAGAGAAAATATTAGAAAGAAGGTTATAATTTAAGTAGAGGATAAAACACCATCATATTTTGTCAGTAGTTTCCTTTTACTTTGAAATGGCAAACTAGTTTCAAGGTAAGGAAAAAATAAAATAATAAAAAAAGCTCAGCCACAGAGAAAATACTGCAATGAGGGTGCAAATTATGCTGAACACCTAAAATGCTCTGAAACTGGTTATAAGGACAAGGCTGGCACCTCCGGGGATGTGTGGAAGGGTTTGCATAACCCCACATCTAAAATAACTTTTGCACTGTGCCTTCTTTGTTTTTTAATTCCTTGAGAAAAGTGTAAAATTAGTTTAAAACCCAAAGTAGGGATGTGAATGTTTGCATACCTTGTCTACACGTAAAGAAATATTATTACAGATAATACCTGGAGAGACCCAGATGTAATTCAGAAAGCGATTTTGGATTTCAAGATTGGCCAAAGTGGAGGAGTAAGGTAATAATCCACAGGCCATATTATTTCTATTTGAGCAAAATGAAATTAACACACTTAAGTGAGAACTTTTTAAAAAAATTTTTTTAAAGGTTCATGTTCTATAAGCTTGTTATCCAGAATGTTCATTCTTTTGATTTTCCTCCTAACTCAAATTAGAGGCAATAATTGTGTTTAAATAGCTTCTGATCTTTCTTCATAGCTGGCTTGGTGGAACCTAGCTGGCTAGCTGTAGAGAGACACATCTATCTGCAAATGGACATACGGCTGAAAAACTAAAAACATAGCAACCACTTAGAGAGAAAACAGCCATCCAGGTCAGAAAATATATTGTTAAACTGTATTTGTCCAGGAAAGTTTATTACAGGAAGTCCCAGTAACATCTCTTTACTGTCTCATCTGTGACAAGGCCCAATTTTTGTGAGCCATGAAAACTGAATTATTGCAATAAGAATTACAGAATAATGGCTTTTTATAGGGTATACATATACCCTACCTATGTAATAATGGATGTATCCCTATCCATGTGTCTATATATGGAAATTTTAGACATTAATAGTATTAATAATAATAATGGGTTACCTATTGAGAGCTTTCTATGTGCCAAGCACTGTGCTAAGTGCTTAACATACTGAATCTCACCTAATTATCATAATAGCCCTACAAAGTAGATACCATTATTAAAACCCCATTTTACACAATAGGAAATTGAAGTTTAGAGATGTTACATGTACATGCAATTCAAATCCATGTTGGTCAGACTAGAAAGCCTATATTCTTAATTGCCATGCTTTGAAGCATGTTTGGAATATAGACTATTTCCAAAGGAAATGGCAATGTTGCCACTTTCACGTGTGTGGTTCCATAATTGTACACACCCTCTTTTGCTTCCAGAGAGTATCCTGATGCCTCGTTTGTCACATCCATTCAGGGTATTCATTCATTCATTCATTCGATAAATATTTATGCAGTGCCTACTCTGTGCCAGGCAGGGTTCTAGGCACTGGGTGGGTGGATGGGTGGGGGTGGTCGGATGGAGATACAAAATAAACAATGTGTATAATAAATAAGAAAATTATTAGAAGGTGGTAAGTGCAAAATACGTAAGAAAAAGCAGAGCAGAACAAGGAGGATGGAGAGTGCTTCTGTGTATGTTTGAGGAGCCCATGTGAATACACAGCACATACGTTTTGTGTATGTTGCATTGTTTGAGCACAGACATGAGGAGTTATCCAAGGAGCTACCTGGCAAAGAAGAAAGAGCTAGAGGAAAGGCCCCAGGGTGGGAGTGTGCCTGGAGTGTTTGAGGAACAGCTAGGAGACCTGGGGTCTGACCAGAGGGAGCCCGCAGAGGAGATGATAGGAAAGGGCCACGTCTGTAGGATCTTTTCCCTTTCCTCTGGGGGCTGGGGTGGGGGCAGAGAACCACAGGGCTTTGGGCAGAGGGATGTCATGATCTACCCTTCATGCTCGTTTCCAGTGTAAACAATGACATGGGTTTGCAAAAGAGAGGGTTGTAAGTAAAAATGGCCTTGGGAATCTAGAGAAAGGAATCAAGATAACCATCTGGAAAAGAATTAAGCTCTGATGTACACAGGTCATTCGGTCACTTAAGGCAAGGTAGCAGGCACTTATCACCTCCTAATTCTTCCAGGCTTAAGGTACCTCTATCTTTTATTTTAGTCCTCTGCACACCTGAAACTACAATTGCCTAGAATAGAGAGGACACATTTAAAAGTTTAAAGGCATTTATTGTAGGCCTAATTCTTCTATATCTAAAACTGCCTATATATTTTCCAATTAACCCAATGCACATCTGAACAGAATTTCTTGAGGGTATAACTGTCTAGAATAAGATTTCTCAAAGTTAACTCATAAACTAAAAACATGATTTCTAAGCACATGGAGCAAAACATTCTAAGAAAGTGAGACACTGGCACTCTGGGAGGCTGAGGTGGGAGGATTGTTTGAGCTCAGGAGTTTGAGACCAGCCTGAGCAAGAGCAAGACCGCCTTCTCTACTAAAAAAATAGAAAGAAATTAGCTGGACAACTAAAAATATATAGAAAAAATTAGCCGGGCATGGTGGCGCATGCCTGGAGGCTGAGGCAGTAGGATTGCTTGAGCCCAGGAGTTTGAGGTTGCTGTGAGCTAGGCTAATGCCACGGCACTCACTATAGCCTGGGCAACAGAGTGAGACTCTTTCTCAAAAAAGAAAGTGAGACATTGATGAGATGCCTTATCAGGAAATGAGCTTCCTCCCTTTTTTCCTATCCTTTTTGGAGCCAGAGAACAGCAGTAAGATTCTTTTTTTGAGGGGGTGGGGGATAATTGGGCAAATTTGTACTGAAATCCCATCCAAAAACTAGGAGATCAATGGATCTAGGTTAAATTAAATAATGTTACCTTTCTAAGCCTGTTTTCTTATCGGTAAAGCAGAAGCAATAATACAGTGCCTGGTGCTGTTGTCAGGAATGAGTTAATAAACGTGAAAGTTTTGAAAACTCTAAAGCACCATAGAGACATGACATGTAGTAGTTGTTTCATTGTCTTTTACTGATGTTTTGTTTTTGTAAAATGCCAGATGCCAAATGATTCACTCTCTTGACTCCAGAGTTCCTCCTATATCAATGTGGCTTTCCTTTTACAAACTGCCAGGTTTGCCTCCACTTTCTTCAATTGCTCCATTTTATTTAGTTTTGGCTCTCTTTCAGCCTGGAAATTGTCTCGAGTTCCATAAGCTTACAAAGAAAGTGGAGTGTAGTGTGGAAGCACCAAGCCTGGGGGAGAAGACCCGGGTTTAGAACTTAGTTCTGCCACGTGTTGCACACGTGAGTTGGCTACATGACTTCACACCGTGGAGCCTCAGTTTTCTTATTTTGGATGCAGATAAATACACACCAGATGGTTCTGAGGATTAAGTGAGAAAAACATTTGTAAAACACCTTGCACAGCATCTAGCCTATGGTGTGTATCTAGTAAAGGTTAAATCCCATTTTCCTCCTTTTTTATTAGGTACAGAATTCCAAAGAGACTAGACAAGATGTGGGAAGCACCAAGGCCAATTAAAAGTAATGAAGAGACAGCAAATGCATTGGCAGGAAAGGGAATGAAAAGGGAAGATTCAGTGAACCGATTAGAAGGAAGAAAAGAAGGAAGAGAAAATGGGTAGATGATGAGGGACAGGAAGAATCACCTCTATCAGATGAGAGTTGGTTCTCTTTCCATAGACCACAAAAACGGTCCATGGAATACTACTTGACTACAGCCCTACCAGTCCAGGGCTTCTAAAAGTAACTTTTTGATCAAAAAGAACATTCATATTCTTCTCTTCCAAAACAATTTTTACAGACTCACACCATTAGAAACACTGATTTGTCTTTGCACACTGTCAGTTTTTATTTATCTTCATATCTTAAAATACTTTCCCCAAATCTTAGTTGACAGCAAGAATCACAGTTCTGTAGCTGAGTTTTAAGGCTTCTGTTATAATTAGCAAAGTTGATTTGGAATGGGAAACTCTCAAGCAGGGATCCCCAGGCATTCTCGTCTTGGAAAAACGTAGGTTCTCTTTCACTCTTCTCAAAATCACTCTGTCTTCATTTTTTAAAAAAGTTTTTGTTCCATGTGTAATCCAGGTTAACTCTAATTTCTTACGTTTTTCCTTCTTCATTTTATAGGCAAACCTTGCTTTTATTTTTGGAAGGGTTGCAGTAACTAACATTTGATTTCTTAGTTCGCAGTCAAGGGCCTGTTGAGTGATTTGAGCTCCACTTGTGGGCTTAATCAGTTGATTGAAAGTAAAATCATCATTTGAATCATTGTTAGACATGGATTTTCACTTTTTGTACAATCATTTTTTTTGAGTGCCAGATTTATTTTCTTAATCACAGAAGTTATTTATTATTGAAATCTAAGAAATAATAGATATTACATTATGTACATATGTGATAATCAGAGAGCCATGCTAAGAAGGTAGTCATTTAAATGGGTAGATTAAAATAAGTTCGCTGGGTTTAAAAAATTTCACAGTTTTTATTTTTCCCAGAGGAGAGAAAGAGTCATCACACGCCTCTTTCCACGTTGCCGCTGATCTTTAAGCTTTACCTTTGTAGAAAGTGCTTTCATCATCTACTCCGTTCTGGACACTTTCACTCTTTAAAATTTAACAATGTTTGCCAAGTTGAATAGTAAACAACAAATGAAACAAAAACGGTATATTTATATTGCCTTCAACAGCCCCCCTGCCCCCCGAGATTCATTCCCAGTCTGATAGACAAGAGATTCTTTTGGTGGAATGATCGATTCCCGGGCAAGCGAAGACATGGGCGAGTTTCACATTCGTTCATTCTCCAAAGCCATTTTCAAGCAAAAATGAAGTCATAGTCGAACAACACAAATTCTCAGCGTGTAACTCTACTCACCTAGAGCAGGCTGTATGCCTTAATGGGGGAGGCGGAAAAATCTAGGGTGTCACAGTAACAGTGTGAGCCCCTCACCATGGGGAGATAGGATGCGGGGAGAACCAGTTTACCTAGTAGGATCACGATGCACAGAAGGATGGCAACCAGAGCCCCTGTGCTCAGTCCCGTGGGGTGGATGAGCGCCTCCGCATGGCAGGACTGCATGTTCCCATGGTGGTCACATGCACAGACCCGGACAGTCACTGTCCCAGTGCTGCTTTGAACTGGGTAGTCGTTGTCTGAAATGACCACGGGCAGGAGATAGGTGCTCATCTCGTGTCTATTATAGCCATTTTTCCGAGTTAAGATTCCCGCTGTGTTGTCTGGAACCAGAAAGCAAAGAGGTGAATGTTTGTGGATGTCGCATCACGTACTGGACCGATTGTGATGGGAATAGACAGATGTCGACACAGACACAGATAAAGAAAGTAACATGAGCTCATTTACCTTTGTTGTCTTGAATGGTAAAGTTTGAGCCACTGGCTGCTTCAGGGGCCAAAGAGAACGAGAATTTGTGCCCGCTGTAGGGGTCGTCCTTGTCAACCGCACGCAGGGTCTGAATCAACTAAGATAAAAACCATACAGCTGCCATAAATTTTTTTTAAAAAGACTTCTGTACGATTATGCCATAAAGTTTTGATAACTCAAAATTATTTCTAACAGTTTTACAATAAATTGCTTGACTAAATGATTTCTAATTTTAATTAAAAAGATAACAGCCTTTAAAAAATTTACAATGAATCCACTCTATTGAAAGAACTGATGTGTTAGAAAGCCACAGAACGAGGGATAATTCTTTGTTGTGGGGGACTGTCCTGTGCATTGCGGTATGTTTAGCAGCAACCCTGGTCTCTACCCACTAGATACCCAGTAGCACCTTCCTAGTTGTGCAACTGAAAATGTCTCCAGAGGCAGGGCATGATGGCTCATGCCTTTAATCCTAGCA